AGTTCTTAGCTTAACGTCACTCAAACTTTCATCTAGAAATATCCATTCGAAGTTTAGTTTTGGTACTTCATTAGTTTTGGCAAATTCATAGTTTAGTAAATTCTTTTGTCCTTCAAGGGAACTGATATTTTGCAGCGAACATGTACACAATCCTTGCATGAATACATCTTCTCGATCTATTTTCTGAACATGTTGAAAATCAGTGCTTCACTACAATTCGCAGAAAATTTACAATAATCTGCGCGAGTATTAATAATTTCGCAATCCATAATTATTGCTATGTTATATTTACACATTAATGATGAGTTTTTGTTACGGTAGCATAGAAATAAATGCCAACCATCGCTGTAATCTGAATTTGAACTATCAAAAGAACGACCTCTGAGGAATTCCAATTTAAACTTTTATCTCGTTGAATTAGTTTCCAACACCGTCTAGTTGTATTTTGATAATACCCACGTAAAAATTTGGTATTTTTAACTTTTTTTCAAGGAGCCGAAAACTGCTATGTTACACTTGAAAGATTAAATTATGTTTTAAATAGTTTGGGACTTTTATAAATTGCAAACAAAATTTAGCAGGAGATACACGATGTATCACCAACAATCCGCTCACTGATCGCGACCGATCATAATACAATTCAAGACTTGTATTGTTTGTTTTTTATCGCTCTATATTGTTATCAGGCAAATAATTGATTGTCTGTGCGGAAGTGGGAATCCGCAAACCTCAAGTAGTGTCGTTATAACATTGCTTAGTGGATAACTCGAGGATTACTTTGTCGCTTCAATGAACTTATTCATATCTTTCGACGGCTTTATATCGCCGCCATTATGATTTCTTTTTCATTAATATTTAAAAAAATTAATGAGAAATTTTTTTGACTTCTTGGACAACGAGGCCATGTTGTGGGGGCGTCAAATTTTAGAATCATGTTAAATAGTACATTTTGCACCTAGGGAGTGAAAAACTGGAAAGTCTCAGAGCACGTGTAATACCATGAAGGTGTTCCTCCTAGTGGAATTTGTTGGAGAAATTAGCGGTCGTTGATGAACGAACTCGGCATCTGCGCGAGAAACTGTCGGGAAGATTTTTCCAGCAATGGGCCGTGGAATCTTTCTCCGAGCTGATATGCCACCGCCTGACAATCGAGTGAGCTGTGATATCATCATCGATGGATTAATGAACCAAGATCTGTTGAATATTTGCTTCGCGGCTTGTTGAAACCAAAACTTGCGATGACTCTTGCATTTCGTGTAACCGCATTACTATGAGAATAACGAAAAATTGTATACACGTTGGTAAAAAGGCATTGCAGCAAGGCTAATATGCGTATCCGTATACGTATGGATGATTGAAAAAAAATCATTGATATAAACTTGAGCTTCGATTACATAAGTTGGTATTGAAATATAACATTAATAATAACAATCGGACCGATGAGTTTTACAAAAAAAAAAATATGTAAATACAAAATAACTGCTTGTGATATTTCTTAATTTATAATGATATTTTTTCATAAAACAAGCCTTATTATTGTTAATGGCAATCCAGACGCTTTTAATCAATAGATGGAATAACTCGATAAATAATGCACTGATAATATATATAATAGGCCTATTTTTCGTTTAAAAAAGCTACATGTCTTATAAGTTTCATTATACTGTAGCTTCGCTTATTGCAAACTCATATGCAATTGAAAAAATAGCCGTATTATTTTTTTTTTTTTTTTAATTATCGGATAAAGAAATGTACTCATACCAAAGTTATCTAGTCATCTCAAAGTATATCTCCCATTTTCTTTCAAACGGATTGCTCATTAGAAAAAATATACACGGGAAAAGGTTTTGCTCTCGAAACGCGATGCAGAGTACACGCCAAAACCCGGTTCGAAAATAACCCACAAATAATATTTAACACGTCTTTTTGTAAACTCATTGTGCTTATAAACATATAATGGAGTAAATGCAGTTGAATAAAAACCAAACGTGTTGCTCTGAAATTACAAGAGTTTTATTTACAATATTTACAACTTACAATCTAAATAACAAATTAATCTAAAAATTACCTGAAATTACAAGAGAAACAACATTTCAAGCCTTTATCTCGCTTACTAAACGCTCTTCTCTCGTTCATTCAATCGTACACTCATACCTCCCCTCTCCACACTCTATTTACCATCACTCATACTACTTTCAGTACGCGGTAGGGAAACCGTTAAAGGAAAGTCCTGACAAATACACACTTGTCAGGCTTTTCTTTACATCTCCCCCCCTCGAAGAAAAACAATTGCATATATACAATTGTTTAATTTACACCCGCAACAGGACTTAACTTTGTAATATGAAATTTGTTTGATTCAGGTTTCTTGTGTCCTGTATCTATTTCATATATCGATTTTGATATTCGTTTGAGTACCTTATATGGTCCAATTCTCAATTCTTCCAATTTTTTCCTGTTTAACTTATTTCCATTTTCAACATATACTTGATCTCCAACCTTAAGTTCCAATATTTTCCTGTTTTTGTCAAATCTTTCCTTGTTGCTATTATGTGATTTAATTGTATTTAAAAACGCTATTTCTCTATCTTTTTCTAAATTTTCACCTGAGAATATAGGCTCTAACTCCGGTGGTAAAATTTCCAACTGTTTTCCTTCCAACAAATATCTAGGTGTAAACTTTGTAACCGTGTGTTCTGTATTGTTATACATTTCTACGCATTGTTTCGCTATCGTTGTCCAAGCCAATTTCTGGTCCTTTTCATTAATCTTACACCTAATTTTATTCACTAGTGTTTGGTTTAGCCTTTCATTTATGCCATTTGAAAACGGTGCATCCACAGCAGTAAAAATTAATTCTATTCCCTCACTATTCACATATTCCTTGAATTCCTTAGAATTTATACCTGGGTATTGATCTGTTAAAATTGTTTGTATCTTATAGCTTGTTAATACTTTGTTAATTAATTTTTTAAAATCTCCTGCGTTTTGTGTTTTCGATGTCAAAATATAAGCGAATCTCGTAAAATGATCGACCAGCAAGTGTAAGTATTTTTTTGTTGATCTTGATCCGCCACAACCGCCAATAGTATCTATCGACACTATCTCAAATGGTTTTTCAGGTGGTCCCAATTGAGACATTAAACCATATTTAGGTTTCCTCCTCGTTTTATTTCTTATGCAGACTTCACAATTTTCACAGAATTTTTTTATATTTGTTAATACATTTTTCCCACAATAAACTTCTGTTATTTTATTTTGCATCTGAGTCTTCCCTAAATGACAAAATAGTTTGTGTACATCTTCAATTATCTTCTTACCTAATTTCTCTGATACAATAATTTTTTCTTTCTTTTTCGATTTTTTCATATAAATCCCTTCTCGTACTATCATTCTATTATTATTCCTTTTGATATCTTGATTTTCATCTTGATCCTTTTTTATCTCTTGAATAGTAGTCATATTTACAACTTTTAAACAATCTTCTTCATTTTCATGTGGTTCTAAGACAGGGTTCCTACTTAAACAATCCGCTTCTTGATTAAATTTTCCTGGATTATATATTATTTTAAAATTATACTGAGATAAGTAGAACATAAGATCCCCCAACTCTTCATCTGGTCTAGCCTTTATATTCATATTCTCGAGTGGTCTATGATCTGAATATATCACAAACTCTCTACCCATAAGCCAATGCTGCCAATATTTGACTGCCTCTTTAATCGCTAAACATTCTAAATAAATAGCTTTTCTTTTCTTTTGATAATCTTTCAATTTTTTCGAAAAATAAGCTACAGGTCTACTTATTTCTTTTTCATCTTTTTGCTTTAATACAGCTCCTAGCCCTTCAATACTCGCATCCGTGAAAATTTCAATCTTCTTTTCTGGATCAAATATTTTTAGTATCGGTTCTGCACACATTAACTCTCTGATTTTTTTAAATGCTTCCTGACATTCTTGCGTCCAATTAAAACGTACATCTTTTCTTAACAAATTATGCAAAGGATCCAAAATAATAGCATTCCGTGGTATAAACTTATTATGAAAATTTATCTTTCCCAAGAATTGCCGTACGTTTTTCTTTGTCTTCGGCGTTGGGAACTCTTTCACAGCTGCTAGATAATCTTTCAATGGTTTTATTGAATTATCACTTATTATGTGACCCAGATACTTTGCATAATTTCTCGCAAATTTGCACTTCGTAAATTTCAATCTGAAACCTTCCTCAAGAATAGCTTCTAATAGTCCCGATATATGCTTTAGATGATCATTGAAAGTTTTTGAAAATATTATTATATCATCGATAAAATTAACTGCGTTATCATTAAGTTTATATTTTCTTATTATGTTACTCAGAATCCTCTGAAATATCGCTGGTGAAGTTTTTAAACCAAAAGGAAGACAAGTCCATTGAAAATGTCCCTCCTGAGTAACAAATGCTGTTTTATATCTATCTTGTATTTTTAAGGGAATCGACCAGAATGCAGAATTTATATCCAATGTCGTGAAATACTTACAATTTACTGTTTTTACCATCAGATCTTCTATGAGTGGGAATGGTTGAGATTGTGGCACGACTATTTTATTCAATTCTCTGAAGTCTATACACAATCTTGATTTTCTATTATCTTCTTTCTTGTAAGCTAAAGTTATTGGAGCTGCAAATGGACTATAGGAATCCTCAATTAAACCTCTATCTAGTAATTTATCTATTTGACTTTCAATTTCTCTTCTATCCTCAATTGTGCATCTGTATGGGCGTTTATAACAATATTTATCTAAAATTAATTCAATATGTGCTTCGTAGTCTCTTACTGTACCAACATCGTATTTGTCCTTTGCAAACACCGTTTTGTATTTTTCTATTAATTTTCTAATCTCTGCTTTTTCCTGTATATTTAAATGACCATATTCTGCATCAAAAGTATTATTATTTATATTTTCATTAAAATTCACTTCATATTTGTTCTTTTCCGTAATTCTATTTCTTTCTTTCTTTTCCTGATTTTCTTCATTCTCATTTTGACTTATTCTTCCATTTTCATCTTGTCTTAATTTAAACTTATAAATACAATCCAGACCGATTAAAAATTCATAGAGGAAATCTTTATCATCCACCACAAAAACATTAATAACTTTTTCTAAATTAAAAATTTTGACCTTTAACTTTACCATACCTCTCGTCCTTTTTACACCATTAATAGTTTTTAGTTTTACCTCTTGTACCTTTTTCTTTTTTATTATTTTTATTAACCTCCTGTTTATCAAGGATACGTTGGCACCAGGATCATACACTCCTGACACTTGCAGCTTATCATTTAGCAAAACTTTAATTTTTATTAATGGTGGCGGTACTAGTTTTTTTGGTCTTCTTCACTTAATTCTACCTCCAATTGAGCGCTATTTACCGTTCTTGCTTGTTTGTTTCTTCTGAATCTCTCGGTTTTTTCTTTAAACCAACATTCTGTCTCCGGATGAAATCTTTTACCTCTGTTTGCTTTCTCACAAATTTAACATGGTTTCTTCTCTTCGATCTTTGTAAATTTGCTGGTTACGTAATTTCTTCCTTTCTTCTCACTCATATTTTTTCCAGCTAAATTTTCTAATCGCCCTATTTCATTATATAGATCATGCGTCTTTCTTATATTTTCTCGGTTTATTTTATCCGCTATGTAATTTGGCAAACCTATTGCAATAAGATCAATTAGTGTTTCTTCATCAATTTCCTTTCTCACCTGAAGTAATAATTTTTCTTTTTTTAACGCATAATCTAACAATGATCCTGTTTGGTATCTGAAGGTAAAGGCATATCTTATCGGAGCCCATCCTTTATTTCCAAAGGTCTCACAAAACTTCTTCTTCCATTCTGTCCAAACCGACTGCACCGTAAATTTTATAAGCATGCAGCTATACCAATCCGCGCTGGCTCTCTCAAGAAAAAACTTCAATATTTCAATTTTTCTCCTATCTTCCACCACCACACACCTTTCACATTCTTCTTCAAACTCCTCCATCCATTGATTTGCGTTCAAATTCCTCCCATCAAATTTCTCAATCATAAAATCCTGAGCTATTTTGCTCAGATTCCGAACTTCAGAGTTACTTGATTTTTCTTCCATCACCTTTTCCAATAATTTTTTTAGAGAATCATCTGCTTCACTCACACTTTCTTTATCTTCTATCCACTCCTCCAAAAGGATATCATCGAAAATTACATTCTCTTCTTTATCCAAGTATACCTCTTTCAAATTTTCCTCCAATGTTATCCAAACTTTCCTGTATTGGCCTCTTTTCTTCAGTGAATTTTTTACTCTTCCGTATGCTGCTGTTTCACATAACACGCTGTGTAGTTGGGCCGATTGATATTCTGTTGGCAATACAAACGTCTCTCCCTTCTCCGTGCCAATCGAGACTAGCCATATTATTGTTGACTTCTGGTCTGCTGTACTCTTTGCTTTAAAATCAAATCTCAATTTCTCCATCCTTCCTTCGTCTCTCTACTTCTTATTGGCAAAAATGTTGTTTTATAATGGAGTAAATGCAGTTGAATAAAAACCAAACGTGTTGCTCTGAAATTACAAGAGTTTTATTTACAATATTTACAACTTACAATCTAAATAACAAATTAATCTAAAAATTACCTGAAATTACAAGAGAAACAACATTTCAAGCCTTTATCTCGCTTACTAAACGCTCTTCTCTCGTTCATTCAATCGTACACTCATACCTCCCCTCTCCACACTCTATTTACCATCACTCATACTACTTTCAGTACGCGGTAGGGAAACCGTTAAAGGAAAGTCCTGACAAATACACACTTGTCAGGCTTTTCTTTACAAACAAATAAATATTTAAGAATTGAACGAATTATAGAAAATTTATTTTTCGGGTAAGATACGCGCTTTTTTTGTTAATCCCAATGATGCACCCAACAAATCAGCCTGACGTTTAGCTACATTTTTTCTAATTTTACGAAAGAAATAGATGTTTGTTTGGATAAAGGTCCAAACATACGCGCACCCTACTGGATATGGTATTTGTAAAACTAACATAAACTTAAAATTAAAGTCTATGGCCTCAATCAAAAACGTAAAAGAGTATATATTTTTTTTATCACTGCGTGATAACACGTTATTTCTCTCAATTTTCCGCAAATAACTACATACGGCTGAGGGCTGTTGATACCGTTAGCAGTGTATTCTTCGGCACACTTGTCGACTAATATGGGCAATTTATCATGACTCTGAAAATATATTTAAATATAAAACATGTACTTTACTAAAAAAAATAAATAATTAAACGATTAAACGAACTTACTTGTAAGTGAAGTTCTATCGTGATTGTATAAGCGCCTCTTCCGAAATGATCAAACATGTAGTACCCCCGCTTCTGCCGATGTCGCCACAATATTCAAAGTATAAAACAAAAGTTAGGCCCCTTGGCCGCACGTTGGCGCTCTCGCGCTGGTGTCCGTCTACCGGCCCTTCTTTCGTCATTTATTTGAAGTATCGTCGTAACATAATTTAATACTCATAGGGTTTCAATTGAAAATGGGAGAATTAGGGTGGGATTGATCATTTCAGAAGAGGCGCTTATACAATCACGATAGAACTTCACTTACAAGTAAGTTCGTTTAATCGTTTAATTGTATTTCGCGCCTCTTCCTTTATGATCAAACATGTAGATGTTCAAAGTTAATTATGTTACGTTAATAAATAATCGAATTTTTTGTAGATCTATTTATTATTAAACGTAAAGAGAGAACAATTAAGTGACATTTATTTTTTAAACTGTCATTACAGATTGATACATTTTGATTTTTATTTAATTACAGCTTTGGCAAATGATTCTCTTTGATCTTTTAGTTTTAAGTTATAGAATTTGGCAAATACTTCCGAATTTTTTGACCAACCTGCCGTCTGGCGCAAAGTGTCAATATCGACACCGTTTCGGTTTGCTGTCGATGTCGATGCGTGACGTGTGGAGTGTGCACTAAAAATATTAGTGTCAATTCCACTGTTATGGAGCGATTCTTTGACCCAACGTCCCAATGTCTGCGACGTTACGGCGCGGTATGGTTGTTTTAAAGATATAAAAAGTTGGAGTATTTCCAAGCGAATATTTTTTGTTTGATTAAGATAGCAGCATAGAGTTGAAGCTGCACAAATCTTTTTATTTTTCTTAAAATAGGGCAAAACAAGGACTGGCTGAGTCCGTCCTGGAGCTGACGTTTTGATCTGTTCTGGAATTTTTATTTCTATTCCTGATTTTTCATATTCTATGTTCTTCACATTTATTTTTGAAAAAGTTTGCATCCTGTGGCCCGTGGTCAAAGCTAGTAGTGTTATTAGCTTTATCGCCAATTGCTTGATAGATAATTCTTCATTTTTTGGCAATGATGAAAAATAGTCCAAAACTATCTTGGGGTCCCATGTTGAATTGTATTTCGGTCTTGGCGGTCTTAGTTTTGATACGCCTTTAAAAAATCGTTTGATGTTGTCATCCTCGCCTAGTTCTGATCCAATAAGCAACGCAATTGCAGACCGGTGACAATTTAAAGAACTATATGCCGCTCCTTCGTTATATAAGTCGTTCAAATGTTTTAAAACATGGCTAATCGACTTTTCGAATGGGTCTTGATTATTGCTTAAACAGTACCTCCACCATTTCTTGAAGCATGTGTTGTACTGTTTGAGCGATGAGCTGCATAGCGAGGACAATGAGACTTCTATACATTCTTCTGGGACTCCTCGATTACTTAGAGCTTTGGCGATAAGATCGCGGCCACCAGGGTAGTTTTGCTCCATACCAGGTCTGTTTTGTTGCTGCAAAAAATAATACCATTTTTAGCCTCAAATTCAAATGTTTCTGATCTTATAAGGCTTGTAAATAAAGGATACCATGGTTGTGATGGCCATTTAGGTACAACCATGATTCCTTTGGCTTGCTCATTTTTTATTTTTTGTAAGGTTTTTAAAATGACTGAACATGGTGGAAAGGCATAGAAATAGAATGAATCCCAACGAACTGTAAATGCGTCGATTGCTATCGAGTTTGGATCTCTTTTCCATGAGATATACTTTTCACATTTCGAGTTTTTTCTACTCGCAAATAAGTCTATCTCTGGACTTCCAAAGATCTGGCAAATTTTTGTAAAAATCGACTCTTGTAGCTCTATTTCGGTATTTGGTTCCAATCGGCGTGATTCTTTATCAGCCATCACGTTTTCCTTCGAGGGTATATATGTGGCAAAAATCCAAATCTCTCGTTGTTCGCACCACTGCCATATTTGTCTGGCAATTTCATTTAAGTTCTTATATTGAACACCCCCCATACGATTTATGTATGAGATGGCAGTGGTGTTGTCAATGTGAAGAAGGATTTGGCAATTTTGCAGGTCGTTGGCAAATATTTTTAAACCGAAAAATGCTGCAGTGAGTTCTAGATGATTAATAGAGTACGATTTTTCGCATTGTTTCCAGTGCCCGTTTACGGATTTTCCATTCGAGTAAGCTCCCCAGCCACTTTTCGAAGCGTCACTAAATATTTCTAAGCAGTAAGAAGTATTTCTTATTGGTAGTGCAGCTCGTTTATCGATTTGCTTCCACCAGTTCAGTTCATTTATGACCTCTTCAGATAGTAACATATTTTTATTGTAATCATCATTGTTGGCTAAGAGAGCTAAAAACTTTTCTCTTTCCGAGATCTTTGTATAAAGCCAGCCATAGTTAACTGCTGCACAACAGGATACTATAAAGCCTAGTATTTTTGCAAATTGTCTTATCTTAATAGATTGTTTAGGTTTAAAATTAATAATCTGTTTTAGTTTTTCCTTCTTTTCTATAGGCAATTCAACTTTCATTTTTGACGAATCATAAATCATTCCCAAGTAAAGCTGCCTTTGACTTGGAATTAATTTGCTTTTTTCATAGTTGATAATAAAGCCTAAGTCTTCCAGCAAAGATATTGTTGTCTCTGTGTTGATCATGCAACATCTTTGTGTATCTCCAAACAGTAGGAGATCATCCAAATAGATTACTGAAAGTAAACCTGTTTTGCGCAAATAACACATGACTGGCTTCAAAATTTTTGTAAAAATTAGTGGTGCAGTGTTTAATCCAAAGGGGAGACACGCGAACTGAAACATGTCTCCATTGAAGAGAAATCGAAGATATTTTCGAGATTGTTCATGTATAGGTACTAGATAATAAGCATCTTTTAGATCTACCGTTGACATGAAACAGTTTTTTGTCATGAGTTTTACAACTGTCCTTCCATCCTCCAATTTGAAATGATTAGCATTTATGAATTTATTTAATTCTTTTAAGTTCAGAATAAGCCTACTAGATCCGTTTGGTTTGGGAATTAGAAAAATATCAGAGATAAATTGATCTCTAGAGTGATTGCATTTTTCAATTGCCCCTTTAATTAAGAGATCATTTATTAGAGTAGGAATTTCAGTCAGCTCGTGTTCACTCCAATGTCTCTCCTTTGGAGTAGATGTTTGTACTGGATTGTTTATAAATGATATTTTGTATCCTTTAATCCAAGAGTGGATCGTCGAATCAGTCGTAATTCTTTTCCATTTTTCGGAAAAAAAACTTAATCGACCAGCGATAAAACTTACATTTTCTTTTAGCGCCGATGGTGTCGATTCTCTGCATCCTTCTTCTTGTCGTTCCGGTTCGACGGTTTCCGTGATTTCTGCCCGCCCGACGTCGGGTAATTTCTCCTCGGAGGCTGACGGGGCGGGTTGTTCAAGTTTTTTGGTTTTGGTGTAATTTTCTTTGGCATACGTAAGTCCTTGACCGTTGCCTCTACAGCCTTTGCAGTTTTAATGATCTCGTCCAGTTTTTCACCAAATAAAAATTCGCCGCATTTTGTGTTTGTGATTGTGTCTCGCAGAGAGGTATTTATGTTTGCTATTATTAGCGAACGACGAATCATTGATTCATCTCTGAGTGTATCAGCAAGAAGTTTTAAAGTATCACTCAAACACTCAATAGCGGGAAGATCCTGGAGGTCTCTGCCATCTTTGGTTAAAAGGCCGAACAGTTTTGAAATTGCTGATAAACAGGCTACTATTTTATGCTGTTTGACCACAATACGGGTATCTCTGCTGATAATCGTTTGAGGAACCACCGTTTTAATTTCGGCATTAATTTTTGGTGGGTCACTGAACTTGCAGTTCTCTGGGAGGTTATATTTTTTCATTATATCCTCTTTTTCCTTGTCAGGTAGGCCCTCGTCAATAACATCCTTCCACCGCGAAACTATTTCTTCGCGCAGTGGTGCCGCAAAAACTCGTTCTTGATTTAAACGCTTTCCAATTGCGTTTAAGAAATCTTGATCTTTCTCGGCATCCTTGGTATTGGTGGAGTCTTTTAAAGGCGTCCGATTATCGTGCCTTGAACGAGATGCGCTTCGACTGCGACTATCTTCGCTTTCGTCATGGCTGCGACTGCGACTGCCACTGCGACTGCGACTGGCACTACGACTGCGACGATGCCTGCAGCTCTGACTGCGATTTCGACTGCGATTCCGACTGCGACTGCGACTGCGACTTTTTCCTGTTCAATCAGGGCACAATTAGTTATTTTGAGTTAGAGCTCAAAAATAATTTATTGTGTAACTATTTAATGTTAATCATATGATTATATTAGAGGTTAGCGCCTTCTAATAACATTGATTGATATGATGCCTTGTGTGCGCATCAGTCGCGTCATAGTTGCATGCGTTTTCGTAAATATACGAAAAAGAATGTTTTCAGGTTAGACCTTCGAACATAAAATGCGCTAGCAGGTTACTCGCGTATGCGTGTGTATTACA